GCTGCAATGCCTGGGCGGTTACGTACAAGGAACTAACTTTAATCTTCTACAGTATAAAAATAAAACGGACCTGGTGTATTATTACTGGAGTCAACCGTCTGTACGTGTGTCTGTGCGGGCTGGTGCAGCCCCGCGTAGCCCGAGGGTGCCGGCCACAGCCAGGCCCTGGAATGACCACGGGCAGGAAGCACAGGTGGTGGAACTGCCTGGGGGGGCGGTCAGTGTGTCAGGGCTCCCCGAAACAGCCTTTCTCTAGGACAGCGGGAGCTGCCTCGTGGGGCAGAGGAAGGACGTGGGGTCCTGGCAGCTCCGGGTTCTGACCCAGGCTCTGCCGCGTGGCCTGCGGCCTCCGCTCTGCCCCAGTGAGGGCCCGTCCTGCACCTGCGTCCTGGGCGTGGCGTCCAGCTCACAGGGTCACCATGAGCATTGCAAATGACGCTCCGTGTTTCCCCGAAAGCAAGACAGGGTCTTATATTTATGTTTCCTCAAGAAGATGCCCAGGGCTTATTTTCAGGGGATGTGTATTTTTTTTAAGTATGGCACAACCATCTACATTGATTCAAATACAGTGAAGTCGTCTTCTTCTGGAACATCATCCTCACTCTCCAGACCCGGAATCCCATCCTGAATGTCTTGTGACTCTGTTTCCCTTAGAACCACTGGCCCCAATCTCTCCTGTGGAGCCACAGAGCTCTCATGGGGCGGATGGGAAGGGCTGCTCGTGTTCTTTCCCGCTCCGCGATGACACACACGGGTTGTGCAGACGTGCTGCGTAGCCACGCCCGTCACTAGGGCTTATTTTCGGGGTAGGGCTTCTATGGGGCAAATGCTTAGAAATCCCACTGGGGCTTATTTTATGGGTAGGTCTTATTTTCGGTGTAGGGCTTCTATTGTGCAAATGTTTAGAAATCCTGCTAGGGCTTATTTTATGGGTAGGTCTTATTTTCGGGGTAGGGCTTCTATTGTGCAAATGCTTAGAAAAACCGCTGGGGCTTATTTTATGGATAGGGCTTATTTTCGGGGTAGGGCTTCTATTGTGCAAATGCTTAGAAAAACCACTGGGGCTTATTTTATGGATAGGGCTTATTTTCGGGGAAACACGGTATATAACGTGGCTGGCACTGGGCCCCGGCTGAGAAAGATGGCACTTGCGGGCTGGTGGGTGGTGCTGGACCCGGCCAGCGTCCTGTGGCTTCCCACAGTGGCCTCCCAGGTGCAGGTGTGCGTCCCGCAGGGCAGGGGTGTCTACGACCAACTTCGGTCTGCAAATCAGAATCCGGGGAGGCTCAGCCACTCGCCCCAGGTCAGACAAGTCTGAATTCCTGCCGGACCGTTGACAGTAAGGCCCATGTTCTGTTACCTCCACGCGGGTTCACTTCTCTTCTGATAAACATCAGGGGCTCCATGTCACAGACAGTGGCCTCAGCGCCATTCCTTTATCGTGGGCCCTTACGTGGCAGCAGTTATGGGAAGGGGCAGCTCCGGACAGGGCGTTAGTGGGTGCGGCTCTGAGCCCCTCCCCGCCCCTTACTCATGCATGGGGGGTCCTCATGTGTGTGCAGTCCCCGTCCTTCCAGGCCCCTCCCCTTCCGGCACCTTCCGGCAGGTGGGGAGGCCAGACCAGGGTTTGCTTCCATCTCTTTGCAGGGACTGGGGGACCATCTTCAGGCACCTTCCGTGTCCCCCGAAACCTCACTATTAGCTCTCTGCTGCTCGGTGCCGTTAGATCTCGCAGTTATGGAAGAAACTAATTAAAAACAGTTTATTTCGCTGGCTGAATCCCAGTCCCCAATAGAGTGTGTACAGCTACGACAGGAAGCCAGTTTCCTTCTCTCTGAGCCGGGGGGAAATCTGACGTGTGTGTTTCACGCACGGTTACCTCCTGCGCCGGCCCTGGGGAGACCGGGGAGGAGAGCGGTAGCTTCGGGGCGGGCGGGGGGCAGAGAGCACCGCCGGCTCAGCCTTGGGGGCCACGGCACCCGCCCTGGGCCCCCGTCTCCCAGCCAAGCACGCCAGCTCGCGTCCACCTCACCCCGCCGGCGTGTCCGTGAGCTGCCGAAGAGCTTTCACGCCCAGGACGGCAGACCGGCCCCAAGTGCCCGCGCCGGGCAGAGCTTCGTGGGGAGGGCCGCGGTTGGGCAGAAGGACAGACGTCCGTTCCGCAGCCAGGCTGGACGGGGTGGAACTGCCCGGCAGGGCGGGGAGAGGCTCCTGGGCCCCCCAGAGGATGCTGCAGCAGGAGTCTCTTGCAGAGGCTGAAGGGCTGGACCGAGCACCCCGCACGCTAAGGACCTCGCCCAGGTTGAGATGTCTTGTTTCCATCATGGGCGTTCTGAGTGGCCGAAACCTTCTACCCGCCAGATAGCCTGAAAATTCAACACCAGCCCTTAGACGTGATGCCTCGGTGGGGGAGAGGGCTGGGAGAGTTCCAGAGACCCCTAGGTCCCTTCGCTTTCCATGTGCCGTGGGGAATGGCAGGCACTAGGACAGGGGCCGCAGACTTGCTCTCTGGGAAGGGCCAGGTAGATAGCGAGTGCTCCAGGCCAGACGGTGAGTGTTCCAGGCCAGATGGTGAGTGCTCCAGGCCAGAGGGCGAGTGCTCCAGGCCAGACAGTGAGTGCTCCAGACCAGACAGTGAGTGCTCCAGACCAGACGGTAAGTGCTCTAGGCCAGTGAGTGCTCCAGGCCAGAGGGTGAGTGCTCCAGGCCAGAGGGTGAGTGCTCCAGGCCAGAGGGTGAGTGCTCCAGGCCAGACAGTGAGTGCTCCAGACCAGACAGTGAGTGCTCCAGGCCAGACGGTAAGTGCTCTAGGCCAGTGAGTGCTCCAGGCCAGAGGGTGAGTGCTCCAGGCCAGACGGTAAGTGCTCCAGGCCAGACAGTGAGTGCTCCAGGCCAGACGGTGAGTGCTCCAGGCCAGAGGGTGAGTGCTCCAGGCCAGACAGTGAGTGCTCCAGGCCAGTGAGTGCTCCAGGCCAGTGAGTGCTCCAGGCCAGATGGTGAGTGCTCCAGGCCAGACGGTGAGTGCTCCAGGCCAGACAGTGAGTGCTCCAGGCCAGACGGTGAGTGCTCCAGGCCAGAGGGTGAGTGCTGCAGGCCAGTGAGTGCTCCAGGCCAGACAGTGAGTGCTCCAGGCCAGAGGGTGAGTGCTCCAGGCCAGACAGTGAGTGCTCCAGGCCAGACGGTGAGTGCTCCAGGCCAAGACGTGAGTGCTCCAGGCCAGACGGTGAGTGCTCTAGGCCAGACAGTGAGTGCTCCAGGCCAGAGGGTGAGTGCTCCAGATTAGACGGTGAGTGCTCCAGGCCAATGAGTGCTCCAGGCCAGACAGTGAGTGCTCCAGGCCAGACAGTGAGTGATCCAGGCCAGACAGTGAGTGCTCCAGGCCAGTGAGTGCTCCAGGCCAGACAGTGAGTGCTCCAGGCCAGTGAGTGCTCCAGGCCAGACAGTGAGTGCTCCAGTGCTCCAGGCCAGACAGTGAGTGCTCCAGGCCAGATAGATAGTGAGTGCTCCAGGCCAGACAGTGAGTGCTCCAGTGCTCCAGGGCAGACAGTGAGTGCTCCAGGGCAGACAGTGAGTGCTCCAGGGCAGACAGTGAGTGCTCCAGGCCAGACAGTGAGGGCTGGCCACGGCGAGTGCAGGGCCGGGGGGCCCCCAGGAGCCGGACAGGCACCCGGACCAGCCTGGTGGCCGTCCTTGGACGAGGACAGCAGTGCCGGTGACGGTGGCCGCCGTGCAGCCCAGAAATGAGACCCCAGCCCCGCCCTGCCCGCCCCCTGCCTGAGCCGCGTGGGGCCAGAGGGTGGGCGCCCCTGCCGTGTGTTCCTGGGGTCCCCGTCCTGGGGGACGTCCCGGCGGGAGAGACCGGAGAGCGGACCTGGAAGGGCAGGCGGAGAATCGCCGTTCCGCCAGTAACACCTGCAACCAGACTTTCTGTTTTTTGAGTTCTAAAGGATTTGCTTTTTAAGCCTGTGCTTGTATACGTGTGCGCGCGCATGTGTGTGTGGGTGTGATTTCTAACGTGTGCATGCCGATAGTGTTAACCAACGTAAGCAGGTCTTCGAAGTGGCTGTCTCGTTTATGCTTGGGGATCCCAGTGGCCTCCCTGGGAGTCGCAGCGTGTCCTTGCTTTCACGTGACACGCTGTCACACGTTTGCCGTGACACGAGCCGCCGCCTCCCCTCTCCGAGACGGATTCTAGCCATCAACGCCCGTGGGCTGGGCTCCCGGGCAGGCAGCACGGGTTAGATGTGATGTTTCTCCTGCAAACGGTTCGAGAAGCTCAGGGAGACCAGGAAACAAACGTCCGTGGCGGCCTTTCCTGGGGACCCCCCCCCGTCACCCCCCAGAGTCCAGACTCATCACCACGGCGGCGGCCCGGGCGGGACCGGACCCCCGGCCACAGGTCTGCCGACCTCGGCCGCGAGCAGCGCCCCGGCCTGCCCCGACAGACGCCGGAAGCTGAAACGGTTGGCGTTTTGTGCGGACTGCTGATGGTGGAGGTGGCTTTGATTTTCAGTGAAGTTTTTATCCGAGAAGAGAGAACGGACGCAGAGTGATGGGACGGCCCCACTCCAAGCACGCGGGTTGTTAGCGCCTGTGGGCAGAGAATGTTTCTAGTGGTTTCCTCGTCTGCCCTGCGCACCCCTGGGACCTAGAGTCTCGGTGTCCCGGCCCCGTAGGTGGACGGCCCTGGGTGTCCGTGCGTCCCAACCAACGCGGCCTTTCCGGGGAGGGGGTGGCCGGTGCGGTCTGCGGGTGGCAGGAGGGAGGTCCGTGGGGCCGCGTCCGGCGACCCCGTCCCCCCCAGCCGGGCGGCAGACAGGTCCCGGGTGGTGGCTCGGGAGCGGCGACTGTCGGGGTGCCCTCAGCGTGGCCCCAGGCATTCGCCGTGACTCTAACGCCCTCTCTCCGCTCGCAGACGCAGGAGTCCCTGAACCCCAACAACCTGGAGTACTGGATGGAGGACATCTACACCCCGGGCTACGACTCTCTGCTCAAACGCAAGGAGGCCGAGTTCAGGCGCGCCAAGGTCTGCAAGATGGCGGCCCTCATCGCGGCGGCCGCCTGCACGGTGGTCCTGGTCATCGTGGTGCCCATCTGCACAATGAAGTCCTGAGCGGCGGCGCGGCCAGGCCACCGCCACCGCGGAGCCCCCCCTGCACCTGCGCTGTCTCGGCAACGCGGCGACCGGCTGCTGAAGCGGAGATGAGGTAGTCACGGCGGCTTCCCCCGCCGGCGCGGACGGCGGTCTTCCGGAAGGACACCCCCGGCGGCGGGAAACCTGCCTGCCCGTGCCAGCCGCGGCTTAACCACACGCGGTGCGTCTGTGCACGTGCAGCATCCCTTTTCCTACCAAGGGGATGCAGCGGGCTGTTGGGAAGTGCGGATCGAATATGCCAAGCCACAAAAAAAAAAAAAAAAAAAAAAAAAATCAGAAAGGAGGATTGCTCGGATCCTTTCCGTTTGGGTGGCGTTTTGTGGCGGGGAGTAAGGTATGCAGAGGGTGTTTAATGCATGCCTCCTTGGGAGTTGCCGAGGGGGGCAGGGAGAGGCGAGAGTAGCAGGCGTGGGTTCCCTTTTCCTCGGTGTTGACAGACCGTCTCCGGGGAAACAGCAGGTGTGTGCCGTCGTGGAGGGTGCTGTCCCTCCTCCACCGACTTTTTACCAAGGGCTACCCACCTTTCGCCGCCGACGGGACGGGGACGTCCGCCCGTCAGGGATCTCCAAGGGAACGTCCCGGACCTCGCTCTTTGCGCACTGCAGGGTGGGAGGGGCCGGCCACCAGCGCCGGCGTGGAGCGAGCTCTGGCCGCCCAGCGGGCCTCCGCGTTCCGGCCGGGGACCCTCCCGCCCCCAGCCCCCGACGCCGCCTGCCAACGCCGGGAGGTCACGGCCACCCCTCCCGTCCCTGCCTGGCAGTGAGGGGCTCACTTCCGTGGCTCTCTGTCTCTCGGGAGAGCCGGACGGCTGGCTCCTCGGGCGTGGGCCGGAGAGGACTTTGGAACTCGTCCGTCCTCGTGCCTTGGAGACCGGAGACGGCGGCCACGCCTGGACACCTCTTCTTCGAGCTGTGGCCTTCCTGCACCCCTGACACGGGCCACGTTCGGGGGGCTTCGGAGAGACCTGGCAAGCTCGTTCAGTAACGGGACGGACGCACCAAGGTCTTCTCTGCCACCCCGCACCGATCGCAGAGTCTCGGATACTTGTCAGCAGTGCAAAAAAAATACTATCTATCTAACCGTGTATCTATCCACATGTCTATCTAAGCACCTGGTGTCCATTTAGTGTCGTCTCTGTTCAACAACCCCAGGGCAACGTCTCTCCAGTGTGCAGGAGGCTGTTGCAGTTCCATCAGAATTCGATCTCGGTTCCCGCCTGCCGAGTGGTGCTTGGAGGAGAACGGCACAGGGAGGGTTCTTGCAGGCGTCCGGTTCTAGCGTGTGGTTACGGGTCAGAGGAAAATGGGATCGGCGGAAACTAGCCACCTTAATGGGTTTTTTTTTGATAACAAGGTGGGATTTTTAAAAAAGTTTTGTCCGTAAGAACAGTCGCTCTGGGTGACGTGCTAAATTCCTACAGGAGAGGTTTGGGGAAAGCACCTCAATTTTTAAGGCACTAGGAGTCCAGCATCCGTTCTTAAAAAAAAAAAAATCCAGATAACGCTTAGCTTGCTGTGTCTAGTTCTCTCGTCCACCCTTGAGGAGCAGCCGGTAAATTTTTATGCTGTTAGCCAACCGAGGGGTGGGTGTTTTCACCTGTGGTGCACCTTTGCTCGTGGAGGTCTTCACCCTGCCTGTCTGTGTCGCCACGTTTGCGTGCGGATTTTCAACTAGGTGACCGGAAACTTAAGCCTTAGCATGGAACACTGAGGGTTTATCATTGAAAATGGAAAAAAAAATTACACACACACACACACATATATATATCTCACTGTCCGTCGTCAGAATTTTAGTCTTTCGGTGCTCCGTTTTGGGTTGGGCACATTAAATAAGGTTGTTTCTCTCATCCCAAAGAGGACACTAGGCCCCCCCCTTGGGAGCTGCCCTGTCTCGCCTCAGCCCCCCGAACCGACAGACTCTTGTGTGCCAGGTCCCGACCCCGCCATCCTCCCTGTTGTCGCGGTTCACTAACCTGCCCAGCGTCAGAGCTGGGCGGTCCCCAACCCCTGTTGCTCTGCGGTTTGCAGGAGAGGCATGCACCTGGGACAAGGACAACCTTGTCAGATCCGACCCTGACTCCTGCTTTTGACAGGCAGGGTCCTGGGGGGCCGGACCAAACCACACCACTTCTGCCACTGCCCCGGGGTGAGCGGGCTGCAAATGGGCTGGGACGACTCGCGGCCCCGCCACCCACGTGGCAGTGAGATTTCCCTCCACCCTTTTCACACCTGGCGAGGCAGCCCGAGAAACCCGGTCTTGCCCCCAAGCCCAGGGTAGCTTTAAAACCCAACTCGAGGGGGCCATTGTCACACCCTGGGAAGGTCCAGACCTGGCAGTGCCCGGGGGGAGCTGGACGGCGAGGGCCAAAGGGGGCGTGGTTTTCTCTGGAAGGCACCGTGCTCAGCCGGACCGAGCCGAGTCCGGGGCTGAGGTCGTGGGTCTCCGTGACGCCTGGGCGTCTCGGGGTCCTTTCTTGCCTTTCTTGCCTCGGGCCCCCCAAGCTCACTCCAGGCTTTCCCAAGAGCCGAGACGGAGTCGGGCTGGGAGGGGAACACCCGTCCGTTGTCCCTCTAGAACTTGCCTCCCATCCCCCCACGGCGAGCAGCTCCCGCCTGTGGATCCGCCCGGGTCTGAAGTCCCTGCACTGTCAGGACTCCCTTTGCTTTCCCCGAATTCTAAAAACAAACAATCGGATGTCCTTATTTAAGGGATTGTTTTAGAATAAAACGCCCCTAGCCAATCATGAAGTTCAGAATCGCTTCATCTTCTTTCCTAATCTGAATTCGTTTCGAATACAGCCTTGCAAGAAAAACAAAAATAATAATAATAATAATAAAGTTTCCTGGCTCCCAGATTTCAGACATTTGACACCAGTACTCCCTTCTTCAACCTGCAAATACAGGGAGTCATGCTTGCATCCTCTATTCGTAGCTGACCCCAAACTGTTAGCACTTCAGGGCGTGCGGCTACGGGGTTGCAACCTGCAAGGCTAGCTTAGTAGACGTGCTCAAACCGCCGTTCCGAGAGTCTGTGCAGTGGTTCCGATATCCCCGTTGGAATCAAGGCAGCGCTGGTTTTGTTTACGATTTATTCAGACAACAGCAGTGGCACCCTGTTTGTTTGTTTTTTTGTTTAAAAAAAAACAAACAAACCAGAAAAAGCTCTGCCAACAAGGAACGATTCCATTAAGTGGCATAAAAATTTGTGGGTGTTGGAATTCAACATGCTTCGTATTATTCATGTAACCAACCTGCGAGGGTATTGTCGTCAGTCGTGTGAACACCAAATCAATACATACTGCACACTGTACTACGAACATTTGCATTTAAAGGCAAAGATAATTCGTAATTGCTATAACTGGGGGAAAGGGTATTAGATATCTATTTATTAAGTAATAATGAGAAATGCAACAAAACTCCTTATTTATGCCTTATGAATAGAAGAGTGTGGACTGCCGGGTGCAGAAGCCTTACGTGGGGGACCCCAGGGGAAGGGTATTTTGGAGGCAAGAACTGTGTCTTTCTATGTTTGTTGTACAGTTCTCAGCATAGCCTTGGTGCTTGATACATGTTATATAAACCAATGACGAAGCACATTTTTAGATCTTTTTTTCAAACGGCCTGTGTAAAACTCGGTTAACGTACAATGGTGGGTCTGAAGCTGTCGTGTAAAATCTGCCTCTCCAGATATAATCAAAAATAAACCGGAAAATATAAACTATCTTGCAGTGAGATTTCATTTTAAGCGTACACCGGTAAGTGTTCGGTTCTGCGCACAAATGATGGCTGTCCGGGCTTGATGGCTTTTCGCAAATCGGAATCTCCACGTCCTCGGCACTTAGAGCGGAAAGGGAGAGACAAGGGAACAGAAACGCGGAACGTTCCAGCACCCGGCGGCCTCCCTCACGCCCCTTCCCGTCGAATCCCTGCAAAGAGAAACCACCATCCCGACCTCTTTGGTCTCCGCTGCAGGTTAGTTTTGCCCGTTTTGGGGATCTATGTAAATGTCCCCTCTCGGGCTGGCTGCTGTCGTTCAGAATGAGCTTCGTGGGAGTTTTCCAAGCTGGCTGTGGTCTTCTCACTCAAATTTCACCGACTCGTTGCAACATGCTACTACTCACTCACACCTTCCACCACCGAACGGACGGACGTTCAGGCAGCTTCCGGTTTGGAGCTGTGAATATCCTCGTGTGTCTGTTAGTAAGCGTGTGTGTGCATTTCTGTCATGTGTCCCCTCGGGGGTGACACTGCTGGGTCACAAGATACGCTCCTGCTCTGCCTGAGCAGACGCTGCCAGTAACTTTTTTTTTTTCTTTATTGAGACAGAGTCTCGCTCTGTTGCCCAGGCTAGAGTGAGTGCCGTGGCGTCAGCCTGGCTCACAGCAACCTCAAACTCCTGGGCTCAAGCGATCCTCCTGCCTCAGCCTCCCGAGTAGCTGGGACTACCGGCATGCGCCACCATGCCCGGCTAATTTTTTATATATATATGTATATATTTTTTAGTTGTCTAGCTAATTTCTTTCCATTTTTAGTAGAGACGGGGTCTCGCTCTTGCTCAGGCTGGTCTTGAACTCCTGACCTCGAGCGATCCTCCAGCCTCGGCCTCCCAGAGTGCTGGGATGACAGGCGTGAGCCACCGCACCCGGCCTGCCAGTAACTTTTTTATTTGTGGTTCTACCAATACACACTCTCACCAGGGGTGTGGACGAGGGTTCCAGTCTCTCCACCTCCCATTCAACAGTTGGTAGTGCCTGTCTTTCACGTGAGCCATTCCGCTGGGTGTGTGGATGGTGTCTCCTTGTGTTTTTAATTTGCATTTCCCTGATGACTAGCAAGATTTGCTGCCTTTTTGTATGTGTGTTGGACAGTTGGACATCCTATTTTGTGAAGCGCCTGTTTACATTTTTGCCCAGTTTCATTTTAAGTTGTGTGTGTGTTTTTCTTATTGATCCCTAGAAATTCTTTATATAAGTATGGAAATAAGTTCTTTGTCGGCTATCTATCGCAAATGTTTTTTTCTACTCTGTGAGTTGAACCCTTTTACACTCTTGATGGTGTCTTTTGGATGAATGGAAAAGTTCTTGAACTAATATACAAATTTATCATTTTTTTTCCCTATTACGATTGAGAATTCGGGTCCTGTTTAAGGAGTCCTTATACACTGTAAGGTCATGAAGACGCTGCATGTTTTCTTCCAGAAACATTAGTTTTCACAGCTAAACCCGTACTCCTCCTAGAGTACCTGGGGTGAAGTAGCGGTTAAGATATGTCTGT